TGGGCCGCGCGGCCGCCCTGCGAGGGTGCGGGTCCCGCGCGGGTCCCGGGCCGCCGCCACCGCCGCGCTAACCCCGCCTCCCCTTCCCCCTCTTGTCGCCCCGCGCTCAGGGCTTCCTCAGCCGCCGCCTCAAGGGCTCCATCAAGCGCACCAAGAGCCAGCCCAAGCTGGACCGCAACCACAGCTTCCGCCACATCCTGCCCGGGTTCCGGAGCGCAGCCGCCGCCGCCGCCGCCGCGGACAATGAGAGGTGAGCCCGCCACCGCCGCCGCCCGCCCGGCCTCCCAGCGCCCTGCCCGGCTGCGCCCCCGAGGGCGCGGGGACAAAGCCGGAGCCGGGGCAGGGCGCGCGCCCCAGGGAAGGGTTCGCCACGCCGTCCCCCGGGCACTTGGGGGGCCACGTCGGGCCGGGGGTTCCGTGCGCCGCACCCCTCCGCTGCCCCCTTCGCTCTCCCCCGAGGGTGCTGTGAGGAGGGCTCCGGAGGCCCGGGGCGAGGCCGGGCGGGAAGAGTCCTCTCCCGGGTGAGAAGTCCTGCCTCGCCTGGCCGAGGTGGCATTGTTTCCCGGGCGGTGCAGTGCCTGGAGGTAGGGACGGAAGTGGCGCTTCCATCCTCAGCACCCATCCCCCGGCCCCCCCTCGGAGTCCCTGGGTGTCCGGTACAAAAGGCATTTTTGGCTGGGTTTTGCTGAGACCCGGCAGCGCTAGTGGCGAGGAAAAGGGTGAACATCTGGAGGGGAGGAGCAGGGGGCTGGGCCGCTCAGGGGGCACATCTGCGCAAAGTAGGGCACGTGCTGCACTGGGGGCTGGGGTGAGCAGGGCGGGCAGTGCCCAAGCGCTGGGTTCAGGGGCACAGCCTGAGACCTGGGAAGGAGGGCCTTCCCTCTCCAGTCCCAGTCCCGGCAGCTGCTACCCTCCTGCTCCCAGGGGTGTCTTCCTTCTGGGCAAGCCGGGAGCAGGTGTGGAAATTCCAGGGGGAGGCGGCTTGTAGGGCAGAGAAGAGGGAGGAGGTGGTTGAGCCTGCTCAGGAGTCACTGACAGCGTGCAGGCTTCAGCTCGCAAGGGCAAGCCATCCTGTCCGTGCCGGGGCACTGGGCGGGCACAGCCTCTGGGGGCCATGGTTCTCCTTCCTGAGTCGTGTCAGCCACAGACACCCTTCCACTTAGGCACTAGCACAATGATGGATTCCTGTGCCAGTTAGAACGTGTCGTGAGGGTGAGGGAACCTGGAGCCTTTTCAGCATTTAGCCTGGCCAACATCAGGGCTGTGTCCCTGTGAACCATTGGCAAGTTGGCACTCCTTGTAGAGGAAGCACAAGTAGAATAAGAGCATCTCTCCTTTTCTCCTTGGTTCCAGCAAGCAAAGGAGTACAAGTTACCCTAACTCCTGCCCATGGTGGAGTAACTGTTTGACACCTAGCATCTTCCCCAGAGTACCCTTCCCACATCCCAATTAGAACTGCTAGACCTTTAATTTCCATCAGCCTAGAGCTGCTCTCCAGTGCGGCCCCACCTCTGCCTGCAGCTGGATTCCTGCCCCAGCTGCCAAACCCAACCTGAGGCAGGACCCTCATCCTTTCTCTGATGGCCGAGGTGCCCCAGGGGACCAGGCGTGCCCTGGCAGGAAGATGCAGCCAGGCCAGATCGTAGCACTGGGTGCAGCCACTGCGTCTTTGAAAATCTCGCTTCCCATCTTTGTTATCGTCTGGGCGGCAGGCCACCCGATTTGCTGCCTTCCTCCCTCTGCTGGCCCCCACCTCCGGCTCTCTCCCCCAAGAACATGCCCTTCTCTGCGCTTTCCCTGGCAGGGGTTCGGACCCTCTGTACTCGAATGCGGGGTCTTGTGTACGTACCCCATTTTATGTGCATGTGGTGGTTGTCCGGGAGCAGGAGAGACAGCAGGCGGTCCAGGAGCAGGCAGCATGCATGTCATGTTTACCTCCCTCCGCTGGGAAGCCAGCAAGCGCCAGGCTGGCCACCCCAGCTCCAGATCCGGGCATGGCCAAGATGACCTCCTGCACATCCTGTGTATCCTGATCTCTGGTCAGCCTTGCTACATGCTGGGGTTTTGGGAGTAAAACTAAAGCCTGTTTCTGGAAATGTGATGAATGGTAACGAGTGGAGCCAAATGCCACTGGCCGCGGTGTGGAATTGTCTTTCTAATTTTCTGTAACAAAATCCGGCTGGGTGGCTTCTCTGGCACCCAAAAGGAGCCCAGATTTCCCATGGACAAGCAGGGAGACAGGGTTTGGAATCCTTCTGCCCAGTCTTGAAGCTGAATTGGGCTTTGCCAGGACTGGGGTCTCTTGATTTATTGCTTTGCTTGGGGATAGATTCGCTGGCTACTGCTGGGGTGGGTGGGCAGATGGGTTTCTCTGGGGCAGTCTCTGGAGTCATTGTATTTGGAGTCGAGTGAGTAACATGGACTGTGGTGAATCCATCCTCATCCCCTAATTTCGTGGTCAAGCCTAGATGAGTGGAGAGGTGCCTCCTCACTCTCACGGGTGGTTGTGCTGGCCAAGGGTGGGTGAAAGGGATGGCTTACCTTAGGCTTGGCTTAGAAGCAAGGAGAGATTGAATCCCGTCTCCATGGGACCCCCACTGGCTACCATGCCTGTCTCCAGGGCTGGGGTAAGTACAGAGGCTCCAGCAGTGAGTAGATGGGGACTCGGATGGGAAGGGGACTAGAGGCTTCCAGGGTTGTGTGTATTAGCTCTGATCCCAGTGGCCCTTCCATGTAGATAAACAGTTGAGGGCTGTCTGGGTCAGTCCCTTGAGTCCAACCGTGGGTGAATCTGTCTGGTCTGTATGGCTCCTGAAGAGGCTTTGTTGCATGCTGTCTGTGTGCTCTGCAAACTGCTGTGCTAGGGAGGTTCTTTCTTGCACTGGAATTCTCATCTGGAGGTTGGAAACCAGTTGGTTCTGTGCTGGAATCATTCTTCGTCTTCTTGGGAAATGAGTGTGCCCCAAGTGTGGGGCTGCTGCTGTTGTGAGACTGGGGTCAGGCCAGCAGGAGCTCAGGAGCTTCAGGGCTTCAGGACAGGTTTGAGCCTTTGTATTTACTCTCTTAAAAATGGCTTCGGGAGAGGTTGCAGCCAGTCTCCAGAATCCCTGGGCCCTCATTTCTCTTGTGGAGGCTTTGGCAGTAAGCACCAGGGACAGGGACTCACTTCTGGATGGCAGAAATGAGTGCTGCCTAGAGCGCTTTCCAGGTGAAAGGTGTGCTGGCAAAAGTGTTTTCCGGGCAGGCTGGAAATACTGCGGCCTCATTTACAGGGCTGTGTTAATGTTGGTGAAAGCAATAGAGGATGCGGTGGGTCTGCCTTCCTGGAACCACCAACTCATGTTCACTTACTAATGTTCTTAGCTAGAAGGGCCAGTCAGCTGGCTTCCTGATCCCCTTTTTCTCCTGATACTGTTTCTGGGTGACTCCGGCCTTCCTCATATGCTGAGGGCATGTCTCCTCTGGCTCCCTTCTGTCTCTGCTCCTGGAGTGGCAGTACCCTTCTTCTCAGTTGCCAGTTGGCCTGGTACAACACTTAGCTCGTAAAAACAAGCAGGTGCAGCTAGGTCAGGCTGGTGTGTGTGCAGCTAGAGTCCACTGTCCGTTCCAGGGAACATATGTGCTGGGGGAGTTTCCACATCTGAGAGTTACGAATGGAGGGATTCTAGGTGATACAGAACTAGGGACGGGAGATAATTAGAAGTTGGCGATGGGATGGTTCCAGGGAACCTCAACTGGCCCTGAGTAGGCAGCTAGCAATTCTTGTCTCCAAGGGTGAGGCAGTCTTTGGAGGAAGAAACAGGAGGGTCAGTGAGGAACAGGAATAGAAGGTAGAACCTGTGGATCAGTAGGTGCAGAAGGCTGGGTACCCAGACCAGGCTTTGCGCCTTCATTCCTGCCCTTCTATACACAGGGCATTGGGAAGATATGGCCCTTCTTTGCGTTTCCTTGGGACTAGTCGGTGGAACATGTGCTGCAAGATGCAGTTTAGACAATCACTAGACATATGAGTGTGGTCTTTGGCTTTGAAGTCATTCCTGGAGCAAGTCATTTAAACTTTCAGAGCTTCAGTTTACACATATACAAAGTTGGCATGATGAAAATGATGTTGTTAGAGACATATTAATGCACTTAGAACATACTTTTTAATAATATTTATTATTTTATTTTACATGTATGAGCGTATTGCCCTCATGTATCTAAGTGCCCCCATGTAGTGCAGTCCCTACAGAGGTTAGAAGAGGGCTTTGGACTCCCTTGGAATTGGAGTTACAGACATTTTTTTAGCCACCACGTGGTTGCTGGGATTGAACCTGGGTCCTCTACAAGTAGTGTCCTATCCGCTGAGCAATCTCTTCAGCCCACATTTAGCACATAATTGAAAGTATCTATCTTGTTCTATGCTGTTTCCTTAGCATCTAATACTTGGTCTTATGTTTCTAAGATTTGATTACATGAAAAATAATGTGTGAAAGAGGTTAGTCTAATGTGTAGGATTTTAGTATTAGTTAATATTGGTACAAGGAAGTCACTTTGTTGGTAAGCCTCAATTTTCTCATCTACAGGATGGGAATAACAGTCAATCATGTGTCATTCTAAAGTTGAGGAGAGATCATAGATGCTGCTGCTCTCTGGTGAGAGGAATTGAGTCAATAGAGATCATTGTTAACCTTGAACAAAAGAAGTAGCTAGATATTATGCCCCTTCTTCCCATCTCCGCCTGGGAATGCAGACCTTTCCTGTGTATATTTTACAGAGTTCAGTGTCCAGCTACTTCTGGGCCATCCTTGTTTTCAATCATTTGGCATTTAGGTTATATCTACCCTTTTCTTATTAAAAATGATGGATTTAAATCCTTGAGTGTTCATCTTTATCTACATCTCTGATTTTCCCATAGGATAATGTCTTAGAAATGGATTACTAAGTCAAAAATATAAAGTTTGAGCCGGGTGTGGTGGCACACGCCTTTAATTCCAGCACTCCAGAGGCAGAGGCAGGCGGATCTCTGTGAGTTCAAGGCCAGCCTGGTCTACATAGTGAGTTCCAGGACAG